TATATATATATATATATATATATATATATATATTTGTGTTATAAATGGAGATTAGTTACTATATTTTGAAATGAAAAAATAGATTTTTTAGCATGAAGATGTAGGTTTTGTTTGAGACGATTTTCTTACTGTTGGTTAAAGAAAATTTCAAGTATAAAATTTTTAATTCTTGTACTTGAAAGATACTTTAAGAAATAATAAAAAAGCCGTTCCAAACGAAGCTGAAGTCTACCATTTGGCTACTTGCAGAAATAATGAAATGTATTATTTATTAAGATTATGACAGGAGCTTAGAAATTTGAATTTTGGAACTTCGATTTTTGGATTTATATCAGTCTGATTAGGATCGGTTGCTTTATAAAAAGTAGGGTTCCGGGTCAAAGTTGTTTAAGAAAAGTGAGTTGCAGGCTTTTTATTTTATTTTATTTTATTTTTTTAATCAAGGCTCAGGTATGGAGAAATTATTACCTCAGGTTACTAGACGTTATTTAAAGATGATTCAGGATACATCACATCATCATTTGTTGTGTATCAAGGTGATATGAGGTATCCTGATTAGCCTGTGGACTGTCTCATGATGCACGTAATAATACCTCCATGTCATGATCTTCTTATATGAGAAATTATTCTATTTGGTCATCAGACGGTCCAAAGACTAGGGCTGTCAATATTGGACTCGACCTGAACTCGACCCGAAAATTTTGAGTTTGGGTTGACACGAATCCGAAGCGGGTCGGGTTTGGGTCCGGAAAACCGACCCGTTTGAAAAATCGGGTTGACCCGGGAAAATGGGAATGACCCAAAAACACTTTTGTCCGCTTTGACCGGCCCTGCCGCCCCGGCTGCCCTGCCTGCCCCACGCCTGCCAGCCCGCCTGCCCGGCCGCGTTGCGAGACGCATTCCGAGGACAGTGTCGCGTGACTCACGTCCCACTAGAGTGTCTCGTCGCGCGCATCCCGAGTCAGTCGCTGTTGCTTTCGATGGCTCCACTGTTGCTAGCCGTCGGCCTAGTGTTGTTGTCGACCTTCCGCTGCCGGCGTTGTTGTGTTCGCAGGTCAGGTCGGGTTGATCCAAACTCGAAGCGGGTCTGGTTCGGGTCCAGAAAATCGACCCGTTTGAAAAAACGTGTCGGGTCGACCCGAACCTGAATAGTGTCGGATCAGTTTCGGGTTCGACCCGAACCCGACCCGTGACCCAAAATTGACACCCCTACCAAAGACCAACCAGAATGCGTCACATTACCCGGTACCAAGCGGTACCGAGCACCGGTTCCTAGCAAAAAAGTGACATGACGCGTTCTGATTGATCTCTAGATACCGTCCGATGTCCGCATAGAATAACTTTTCCTGTCCGCATAGAATAACTTTTCCAATTGATCTCCGTACTTGAGAGGGAAGCATGAATTATTAAGGAAAGGTCCAAATAAAGTGGAATATTATGAAAATTAACATAACATATTTATTTTCAAGCATCAGTCCAAAGTAGGTGAAAAATAATGCAAATTACCATTACATATTAATTTTCCTTCATTAGCTACGTACTTCTTTCAAATTTATACATTCTAAATGTCTTCAATCGATTATTCTATCTAATTGGCAGCTCGGAATGGCCAGCGGCTTGGACACTCTTTGCGGCCAAGCATACGGAGCACGACAGTACCAAATGGTTGGAATCCACACAAACAGTGCAATCCTCTCACTCATACTAGTAACCCTCCCCATTTCTCTTCTTTGGGTTTCAATGGGGAAGCTACTTTCCCTCATCGGCCAGGACCCCCAAATATCCCATGAAGCTGGCAAATATATTGTATGGATGATCCCTGGCCTCTTCGCCTTCGCCATTACTCAACCTCTGATGAAGTTTCTTCAATCTCAGAGCTTGATTCTTCCCATGCTTTTGAGCTCGCTTGCAGCCATTTGCGTCCACATTCCTTTGTGTTGGGCAATGGTGTTCAAAACCGGATTGGGCAATATCGGAGCAGCGCTTTCTATTAGCATTTCGTATTGGATCAATGTACTGATTCTTGTATTGTATATTAAGTACTCAGATTCTTGCAGAGAAGCTCGTGTGCCGCCATCAATGGCGGATTTCAAGGGCATCAACGAGTTCTTGAAACTGGCAATTCCGTCTGCAGTAATGATATGGTAATTCTTTATGAATTGTTCTTTGTATTTTTTATTATTATTATAATTCTGTTAATTAGTTGATGATCACAGTCTTGAATGGTGGTCATTCGAGCTGCTTGTCTTGCTCTCAGGTTTCCTGCCAAATCCAAGGCTTGAAACGTCGGTCCTTTCTATTTGGTATGAAATTACAATTATTCACAATAAGAACTTATTAAGTTAGGATCAAATATTTTGGATTAACTCGCGATCTCTTTCTTATGCAGTCTTACAAGCATTGCAATGCTCTACAACATACCATATGGCCTTGGCTGTGCTGCAAGGTATGATCTTTCATAGTTTCCTCTAGGGGTGCAAACGAGTCGAGTTGAGCTCGAGCCGGGAGTTGTTTGAGTCGAGCTCAACTGTCAGATACCGAGCTCGAACTTGAGTCGAGGTCAAAATCCAGGCTCGAGCTCGACTCGTCTCATGTCAAGCGGCTCGTCGAGTTCAACCCGAGCTCAAATTGTCATGATTCGTCATCCCGAGGTCCGTCGTGGTCGAGCACAATCCGTCGTTGTTGCGTCCATTCCAAGCTGTGCTGTTGTCAAAATTTGTCATCCCAAACACGTCCATCCACGTCCCGAGCACATTCATCTATCGTCGTCCTGAGCTCGTTCCTGCGAATCCCGCCAAGTCAAGCGGCTCGTTGAGCCGACGAGTCGAGTCCAATGCCTGTTCGAGCTCGAGCTCGACTCGTCAAGCCTGTTACCGAGTCGAGTCCTAGTCGGCTTGACTCGGGTGCACCCCTAGTTTCCTCTATTCACATGAAGATTAAGGCTTTCTTTGGATCGGCTTTCTTATTGCTTCTTAAAGAAGCTTTCTAGTACAAAAATTAAAACTTTTGTATTAAAAAGTTTCTTTAAAAGCAATAAGAAAGCCATCCCTCATTTGGGACAACTTTTTAGAAATCAATGAGAAAGTTGTCTCAAATGAAGCCTAAAAATGGAAAATTTTAGGTATAGAAATCTGATAAACTTTATGTGCGTGTGTATAGTACACGCATATCAAATGAACTAGGAGCTGGGAATCCAGAAGGAGCTCATTTGGCTTTTCGTGTGGTGATATCGATCACAATTATGGAGGCACTGGTGGTGAGTGTAACAATATTCGGCCTCCGTCGAGTCATTGGTTATGCCTACAGTAATGAGGATGAAGTTATCGATTATGTCAGGGAGATGGTTCCTCTTGTTTCCATCTCAGTTATCACCGATAGCTGCCAAGGAGTGTTGTCTGGTAACCTTCTTCTTCTTCCCCAGCCAATTCTACAAGTTGCATCCACACTACACGAAATTCATGTATTTTCGGACGGCTAATTGTCGCCGCCGGAAATTTAACAAAACAGCCGGTCAACCGGCGCTACCCGGCGGTTTAGCCGAAAGGTAATACCTGCGGTTTTGACGTCCGGTAAGCCGCCGGTAAAAAACCGGCGGTGACCCGGCGGTTTAGCAGCCGCTAATACCGGCGGTTTTGACGGCCAGAAGACTGGTAAGCCGCTGGTGATTAACCGGCGGTCACCGGCGCTACGACCGCCAGAAATTACCGGCTGTCTAAGCAACCAGAAAACCGCCGGAACGCATAACTGCCGTAAAGGTTTCCTACGCGGTCTATTCCGGCGGTTTGTGAACCGCCGGAAAGCCGCCGGTTTTTTTAAGAACCGCCGATAATGCCTGAATTTCCTATAGTGACACTGACAAGCTTAGCTAGCTATAACAAATTTTGAATTTTATCACTTAACTCCAGGTGTTGCTCGTGGATGCGGCTGGCAACACATAGGAGCTTATATTAACCTTGCAGCTTTCTATCTCGCTGGGATCCCAATTGCGGTTGTGTTAGCTTTTCTCCTCCATATTGGTGGTAAGGGCCTATGGATTGGTATATTATCTGGTGCTGTGATTCAATCATCTCTTCTTGGGGTAGTAGCAATTTTTACTAATTGGCAAAAACAGGTATGTTAATTTCTATATAAATGATGATTTATTTCCTTAAGCTTATTTTATTAGCTATTAATGATCTTTAAAATTTAAAATGCTGAACAACTTCTATGGTTTGTGTTGCAGGCAGTATTGGCGAGAAAGAGAACATTAGAAGAGAGATCTTTATTACAAAGTGATTTGAAATGAATTTAAGTTTTGTTTGAGGCGATTTTTTTTTTACTATTTCATAAAGCAGCTTTGTAGTAGAAAAATTTTTAATTCGAAAAGAAAATTATACAAAAAAACTGCTTTAGAAAGCTATAAAAAAATTGTCCCAAGCTAAGCCTTAGTTTTTGAGAATTTTGATTGAATCATTATCTTTTTCACTCACTTGTCAGCATAGGAAATGTTTGGTTGAAAAAATTCATCTGCACTTAGAATAATCATTTACCTATGATGATTATAATAGCTGTGATGTTTGTTTTTATATTAATAAAATATTAAAGCATAAGTTCTTAAGTTCATAGAAATTACTTTTAGAATTAAGATAACATTGTCAAATTTATAATTAATATTAACTCTCTATTGCAATTATTCTTCTAAACTCTTAGGCTTTTTTTAGAACAGCCTTCTTACTATTTTTTAAAGCAATTTTTCAGTATAATTTTTTTTAAATAAAAAATTTTGTACTAAAATTTTGTTTTAAAAAACATTAAGAAAGTTATCTCAAATGAAACCTTAGTTTCTCACAATGCAAATATTAATTAATAATAGCTAATTTATGTTAATGAAATTATTAATTTATTGCTATCTTTTCTCTATTTTAATTGAAAGTGAAGTATAACCATCCCCTTTGATTTAAATGCTAATAATTGCAAAACTGACCCTTGATTTGGAAAGCTAATTGAACCCCTTCTAATAAAGCTTTGAATTGTAATATTAGATGGGCATCAAAGTCTATTTAACTTTGTGTTTATGTGGTCATCAATAAGGATGTACATGTTCTATAATCTTTATTAATGTATTGACAAGGTAAGATATTTTTATTTTTTTTATTAGTCTTATAGCACTTATTGATTTAAGGAAAAAAATTGTCTCGAGATATATTTCTTAATTATTTTTTCCTCAAAATAATGAAATTTTTTTAAGATGAATGTAATATAAATTTTGATTGATTTTTATTAATTATATTTGATACACCACAAAAAAAAAAAAAATTGTGACTGAGCATGAATCTCGATGCAATCCGAAGTGGGAATTCAAAATTAAATTAAGGAAGATCCAATTTCGATTTCAACAAATTTATAGTCAATTTGAATATCTCAAGGAGATGAACCCAAGGACACCAAATTTAGTCCAATATGAGCCCAATTCAAACAATCATAACATAATTTTAAGCTTCAAAACATCGATTGGATGACCAAATGATATCCGAATATGACATGGTTATAGCTGAATCGAGCTGCTTGACGAGATGAATCTAAGGAGCCTAAGATCACTTAATTCTGATATCATTAAGGAACTTAAATGCTAAACAAATGCTCGAAGTTCACAAGGGAATCAATATGAGTCGTTCAATGGAACACTCTAAATTTGCCCCAGATTTTTTTCATATTTACTGAGCATGCCTCTCCCAAAAAACTATAAAATAGAACTTCATTTTTCACAAAAGAGGGGAGAATGGGAGGAGAAAATCAATGAGCTCTATTGCATTCTCCATCCAATGTCATTGCCATATCTCTTCCCAACCACCGATCATCATCAAACTTACACCTATTTGTTGGTCGCTGCCGGATCTCTTTCTGATCACCAGTCGTTGCCAGACTTCCACCTATTCGTCAGCCACCACCAAATCTCTTTCTGACCACCTATTGTCAATAGAATTCTGCCTGTTCATTGACCACTACTGGATCTCTTCCTAACCACTGGCCGTTGTGGGACTTCCACATGTTCATTAGCCACCGTCAATCTCTTCATGACCATCAGCTGTCATTGGACTTCATCATGTTCGTTGGTATTTGCTGAATCTCTTCCTGACCACCTACCGTTGCTAGACTTTAAGTTGTTCGTTGGTCATCACTGAATCTCTTCCCGACCACCGACTGATGTTAGACTTTAACCTGTTCGTTGGTTACCATTGGATCACTTCCCGACCATCGACCATCTCTGGACTTCCACTTGTTCATTAACTGACACAAGATCTCTTCTTGAGCACTAACCGTCGTCGGACTGCCGTCTGTTCATTATCCACCATCAGATCTAGACCACTGACTGTCACCAGACTTTCGTCTGTTCTTTAGCCACTGTCGGATCACTTCAAGACCACCGACCATTATTGAACTTTTGCTTGTTCATTGGCCATATTCTAGTGACTATAAGTCATGTTCTGGCGCCTACAAGTACATTCTCGTGCTATAAGCACAAAAAATGAGTCATAAGGGATCATAATTCTTTAAGATTTTGTTTGGGTCTTGAAAATAAAATGTGAGATGAACTGCTTTATAATATGAATTTAAATTTATTTATCGACTGAACATTATTATTTAAATATTTAGATAACTGCTATATTCTTATCACATTTCTCAGTATAATGATTATTAACCTGCTTTTAAATATTTAGTTAAATGTTTAATAAAAAAATTAAAATTTAGATTGGTTTGTGTGTCTTGCTGAGCTGTTGTAGCTCACTGAAATTTTTTTTGTTTTTGTTTTCAGGATCAGGGAAAGGGAAGGAGTTGGTTGATTAGCAGTTTCGGGATTTTATTTGAGTTTATAGCCATTTCTCTATTTTGATTTTTGTACATGACTAGTTTATTATTTAGCTATGTAGCTTCTATTTGTAGCCATATATTATAATGTAAATATATTTTAATGAAATGAAAGAAATTTTGTGGATGAGTTATTTATAATATTTTGAATATTTTAGTAGCTATGTAGTTTTTTATTTATATAAAATGAACACTAAAAGATAATATGAAATATTCCAAAACTAGATCTTGAGAATTGGCTGTCTCTTCTTAACACAATAGGACATGCCCTGGTTGGGTTCGGTTTTGACACATTTATCCATAGGAGTCTCCACAAAACCGACTGTCTCCTCATCATCTAAGTTAATATGTTGAGAACCAAATGAAGTTTGGCAATTTCCTGACCTAGCCCAATCTCCAGTTGCTTGACCTTCACCACAAACTTTCTTTAATTCCATATAATTTGGGAGAGGGATATTAAGATATGTAGCATCTTTGAAAAAAAGCATGTAATTATTTAGATTAGTAAGCATAAGAGATAAATTTCATCTTTGCATTTGTAAAAACTCATCTTATTCTGCTACCAAACAAGAACATGACAAATTCAAGTACAAAATATATATTAGCAAAACTATACCTTCAATGCATTTTTCTTCATCCATGACCTTTTTAATCGAGAGAAAAAAAAAAAACATTAAAAATTTTGGGTTGTCTATTGTCCAAACTTCCTATATACTAGTTCATCTACAAAACATGGTAATTGGACCTTGCTATTAGTAATTGGACAGGATTCAGATTTACTTGCTGCAATGGAGCAAATACTGTAGAGGAATCGAATGAAAGAAATATTGTTTTTTACATCAATCTACTTATAGGCGTAGAAAATAAGTGCTATGAGGATAAGTGCATTTTGTTAACTTGTTAAAATATATACAACCAATTTTTTTTCTTAATATTTTGTGGGCTAATTAATTATAAGCCTATTTCTTCTAAAATATCCCACTTTTAGAGAGTTATAGCTCCAACTAAACTAATAAAATCTTATTTTTCTTCAGTAGTGCAGAATCATTTCACATCGACAACCTTAGCAACCGATTCTCCTCATTCTCTCATATCAATGAAAAAAAGCAAACAAAAAATTTTTGTCTGTATGATTTGGATGAGTGCTATGAAGAAATTTAGCCCAATTTTTCATTGTCCGAAAGCAACAAAGTTCAAGCCAATCAGAACAAGAAGAAAAAAAAACCGGCCATGGGCTCCCCCCTTCTACGATCTTAAACTTCCACATTAGCAAATCAAAGCATACTTTGCCAATCCACTACGAAGTATTCACCAAAAGCAGATCAAAACAGTACGAAGATCCTAACGTTTTGCAGATTTGTGGGATTTGACCGAAGAAGCATGCGAAAGGGAGAAAGGAAGTTACCTTCACTGTGAGTGAGCTCCCACAGTTGCTTCCGATTAAGATGTCGTGCCTTCCGATATGACAGGAAGGGAACATCGTCAAGGAGTGAAGCCGATTAGCAATGCAGGAGTCCACGAAGCTACACGTGCAGAACTCTACCTCACGCCTAAGCATCGAGCTCGTTTACTCGACAAGAGCTCGAGTTAGTTTAACTCGTGAGCTCGATAAACTCAACTTGCGAGCCCAAAATAAGTCAAACTCGAGCCGCTAGGCTCACATACACCCCCTACAACCAACCAACAGCCTCTAAGGGCATCTCCAACCGTAAATACAATTTTCCACGACAAAATACAACAAAACCCTAAAATGTCGTAATTTTGTTCTAATCGAACTCCATTTCGCGGGTAAATCCTCTCGTAACCGACTTTCTCCATTTCCCAGCCAATCTCCTTGACACATAAAAATTTAGCGGGTAAACAGTACAATGCAATGTGGCACTGTTCATCCGCGATGGATTAAAACGAGCAAAGAACGGCAAACAGTGGTTTGCCCTTCCATTGAGATGGTCTAAGACTTTTCAGAGGATAAAACAAAAATAATATCATAAGATCTAAATCCTGATTTACGGTATTTACGCCAAACAGCCCCTTCGACCCCTTCTTCACTCACGAAATACGTTGAGCTTGCTGGGAGAGGAGAGAAATGTCGGCGAGAGGAGGGAAGAAGGCGCGGCTCTCTCGAGCCCTAGATTCCCACATTCGAAACATCGAAGAAACGTTCCAGGTGATTCCCGATCTTCCGCTTCTCGGTGTTCCCATCTTCTTAGTTTTCCTTTTTAAATCACTTCTGGGTTTTAGATACTGGAGAAATCCGCTGCCTCTTCCCTCGAGAAAGTGGAGTGGTCTCAAGTAATCAAGCTGGGTGATGAGGTTTCCAAGCAGGCCACTATTGGTATCATCATGTCCTTCGCTTCTCCTTGCTTTTGGAAATTTTTATTTCTTAATTCTATTGTGGGCGTATTTTTGTATCGAAAGCAAACGCGTTTTTGTTTTTTTGAAGAAAGTTAGTTTTCTTGGCTCTCCTGAGTGTATCTGGGTTTGAGGGGATGTTATTTGTTCCACTCTGCATTGTATTGTTTTCATCTGATTATGTTACAATTTTCTAACACTAACAATCCACTCTGAGAAGTGAGATTATGTGTTAAATAAACTCTTTCTGCACCTTTTTTAAGAAATTGACAATTTGCTTTTTTTTTTTTTCACATTATTCTATGCTTAGGCGCCATTTGGCTGCTAGTAAGATTTAGTAAATCTTGCACATTCAGATTTAGCAAATCCCGGACCCATTAAATCCTGCAAATTGTTTGGCATGATAGATGTTAAAGCTTGTTAAATTCTAATAAACTTTTGACAAATTGTTTTCAAGATTTAGAATTTTAATGATGGAGAGGAAAAGCATTGTGCAGAAGTTGTGTAAATCTCTTATGTCATACCTATCCTAGGGTTTTCTAAATCTAATATTTTGCTTAAAAAAGAATAAAATTAGGATTTAAGAACATAATAGCATTTATGTGGCTCAAAAAAGTTGTTTGGCAAGATTTAAGCTTAAATTCTGGCTAAAACATGCAATCGAACAACGCCATAAATTGTCTTTCTTCCCTGAAATGATTGGCTTAACATGAGCAAAGCAAATAGAAATGCATGTCATGTCCTTCTCAATCTATTGTTAAGATTTGTTCGTTGACTTCTGTTCTGAATGCTTTGTTCAACCTTTGTTTTTGTGGATGCCATTCAGTTTTGAGGATATTATATAGTTGTTTTACTCAATTGTAAAACTCAAGACAGAGCTACATGTTCTTAGGTCATGACAATCTTGTGTTTCTTCATCTGAAAGCTGAATCCTTAGAGAGGTTGACTTTAGACCTATTTATTTGATAGAGTTCAAAGCTATGTGACTCGCACCAATGGGATGATGCTTAATGAAAGGCATGATGGTTAAATATTTTGGATATATACATGAATCAGCATTCCTCACTTTCTCATGTTCGTGTTAACTTCCACCCAAATTTTTTTGCATGACTTCCATCCATGTAACTTTTGGCCTCTCCTTTGTAATCTTTAACTTATTACTCTCCTTTTGGGTCATTTTTACCATTTAACCTTTTCAAGCCCAGCTAAGTTTATTCACTACAATAGTACAATCATATCTTCAAAATGTTGGGCATAAGGTGAAATTTCCTTAAGTTTATTCTTAAGGTCTAAAGTCTTAATCGCATAAATAGCTTCTAAAAATGTGAGTAAGGCTGTGTATCAACTTCTTTCGCAGGCCTTATATTAGCAAGAGAGCTACATGCAATGGGCATGCCTTTTTTTAATCTCCTCCAAAGCTGAGGTTCTATCCATCATCTTTAACATCATTAAAATTATCGGCCTATATTATTTCATGCATTTTTCTATTGTTAAACCATCTATTGGATACATCAAAAAATATTTGAAGAATTGTTGTGATAGCAAGAAGAAACTTATGATTTTCATTGGATGGATTGGAACGAATAACTTGGAACTCAATACATGGATTATTTTTCTATATCTATATCATACTAAAGGGTTTTGACTGGTAAAATATTTGGGTTAAAGTTGGTTTCTAGTTGAGCTTCTATAAATTGCCTGATCTTTCTTATTTTTGTTACATGCTTGATGAATGGTCAATTTATTAAAACTGATGAAATTTGATGCATTATTAATTTTTTAATCTAGATTAATATGAATGATGTGATTTATGTTTGAAAACCAACCACAAAATGTGGTAAGCTATAAACGAAACTTGGGTTAAGTGTCCACTCTCCTCATAAGACGAGAAGAATCCATCTTTTCCTCTCCCTCTCCCCCCAATATTGCGTGCGCACACACACAAACTTCTAAGCTATGTTGCACCGATACAAATACGATGACACAAATATGACACGATACAGATATGGGACACGTCAATTATTAAAAATACAGGATATGGGTATGACACGAACACGCATTATAATTTATAAATCATACATAAATATTAAGAAAGCAATCAAAGCTTTTTTTTTTTATCATATGATGCTTTTGTAATCTAAAACCTAAAATACACATTACATCATTGACTCATACATATTGGTTTCTTGATTTTTTTTTCACCATGAACTGTGGGCGATGTTTATGTTGGTTATTTAATATCCTAGATTTGTGGTGAGAATTGAACTTCTAACATTTTCTTTTCAAATCAGTTGGGAGAATGCTGCTCATGATGATGGTGATGGGAAATCAAATGGCTAAAACTTGTCCACATGAACATAATGTTTTATAAAGTACTCAAATGAAAATCAGTTTTCCGATTGAATTTTGCTGAGGTCTGTGTCCACTCTGTGCAGCTGGGATGCTCTGGAGTGTAGAAGAACCAGAAATGAAGCAACTGGAGGAGTGCATGGAAGCATACTTTAATGTGCTTCATGGCTTTGTTTTGATCTGTCATGGCAGTACAGCTGGTGCTGGCCCTACCCTTCATGCAAGTATTTGTTCTTCTGCAAGACAGGTCATTGATAGTAGCCTTGCACTGTTAAAGGAAGCTCTCTCTATTGGTGAGCACTTTTACTTCCAAATACATTTTGCAACATCTATTGTCAAATAATTTTGTTGTTAGATTACAGATTTCTTGTTCTCCTGTACGTTTGGCTTAGATCATCACAATATATGCTGTTTTATGACCCAAAACTTGCAGAACACGGAACTCAGGAAACTTGTTTCATAATTTGAGATCCTTGTGGAACTTTCTGGTTTCACTTAATTTTAGTTGTACATTCATTAGGATTATCACTGTGGCAGTACCATCGTATGCTGCTCTTTTGGCTAATTTTTTTGTGTTCCTCTTTGATGGGGCTATTTTGTTGAACTTCTTAGATGTTATGTGCAAAATGTTTGCTATTCCTCTCAAGAGATGTTCAATAAAATAATATTTTACCATCTGCTTCTACTCTTCTTAGAGGTTTCTAAAAAATTCAAACAAAATTAATCAACACATACTATGTGAAAATATTGATATTATTGCAACAAAAAACTTATTACTTGCAAAAAATATATATTGGAATTGATGACTAATTAGAAAACCCTCATTCAACCCAAAGAACATTGGTAAAATCATAGATTGAAATTATCTATTCCTTATAAAGAATTAAAAAAAAACTAAAATAAATTTAATGAACATAGAAATTATGTTAGGTGAATAAAGAAAGTTAAATAGACAATTAGATAACTCATTCTTGTTTCAGATATGTTTCATGTCAATGCTTGGATAAATTATTCTGTGCAAACGCCGAATGCCGTCCAGAGGTCAACCAGAATGGGCCACGTCACCCCTTCACTCGGTACCGCTAATACGGCGCATTCTGATTGGTCTCCAGACGGTGTTCTACATCCGGTTTCCATAGAATAATTTCTCCACAGCTTGAGCTAAAAGATCCCGCTTTCTTATTTGAAAGGTAAAATTTCATCAGTTCTATAATTTTGAAATTCATGATTCATTTGATATGTAGTAATCTTCTCCATTAGCAAGATCCTCTGAGTAAATCATTTTAGCATTCTAATCCCAGAGATTTACCTATACAGAATCTCGCAATTTCAGTAATAGATCTTCCATCATCCCTCGGCTCTCTGGTTCTGTTTGGGAAGCTTGTGCCAATCTCAACAAGAACCCCACTTCCAACTGCACTGCTATCGGCCGCGCCATTACCCGTGTAGCCGTCTCAGTTAAAGATATTCTCCGAGAAATGAATGAGCTGAAGCCTGCGGCCCCCAATACCTCAAACGACGCATCGCCTGAGGAAGACGACTCCGACGATGAAGAATTTGGCGATGATCTTTCACCCGAAGAAATGTTAATCGCCCAGTTAACAACCAAAGCTGTTTCTGATGTGCTGGCGGCCTTAAAGGAGGTTATCAGATTTGTTTCTGGTCTGCATACTAAATCAAATGAGGAGAATATGGAACATGTTAAGGCCTTGGAGACATTGCTGAGATGCTGCGAGGAAATTGGAAACCAGGCTAATGAGTTGGGTGCTTCAGTTTACCCACCACAAGAGATTTCTGTGCTGAAATCGGCAGCTAAGAAGATTTACATCGCCATTGATGATCTGCAGAAAGTTGTTGAGATAGTTGGAGGCTCAGATCAGAGCTTTTTAGGCTGTTTTGAAAGATTGGAGGATTCATTGAAGAAAATGGAGTCTGGTTTGTGTGGTGATGTGAGCAGTGAGATAGAAAGGCTTGCGTTGTAATATTTGAAGATTTTCATTTTTTTTTTGTGAGTGAAATTTGAAACTTTAAACTTTAAAGTACAGTTCATAATTTTCTCTGATCTCTCTACTTTTTATATTGATTTAAAAAAAAATAAAGGCAACTGAAGGTTAGGGTCAGTTTTTGTTTATTTATTTTAATATTTTTTCTATTTTTATATTTTAATTTGAAATAGAAATACATTCGATATCTTTAAAGATTGCATAGATAATCTATTATGTTTGTTTAGCGCATTTTTGAACTGATATTATTATTATTTTTACTATTCCCAACAGATTGCTATTATCATATAAATGAATGTATTTAAAAAAATAATATAATTTTGTTTAAATTTTATATAAATATACTTTATTTTATAGTAAAATATACATAAAATAACATGATAATTAATAACTAATAATATTTTTAGACATTTAGTTCAATTAAAATAAACTTACATATCACATACATAACATTCAAATTCAAAACCTCTTAGTTGATAATCAAAACTCTCAACCTACAAACTAACGGTATATAAGTTAATAACCCTAACCATCCCCTGAATAAAGATTCTTTTGCATTTATTACATATTGATAATGAAGACTAAATATAAATATTACACAAACAACTCATTTGCCCTAACCTTTTCTGCGTTACTTACAGCATAAAAAAAACTTTCATGCAACAAAGACAGGAGCTTGGCAAACAATACATCCAGATTCAGTAAAAATATACACTGTTGCTGTGGCAACATCACCATATAAAAATGGAGATAATAAGTTTAGAACATTGGCCTTTGTATGCCTCGTTGATTTTGAATAATCAACGGCCTATAAGCTTAACCATCCACGCACCACCCAGGTAGAGACCCAAAAGGGGACCTGCGAGCAGTACTTGTGTGAGGGGATCAGTTGAAGGAGTGAGCACAGCAGCAGCAACAACAGCTCCTACCACTACGTATCTCCAGATAGATAGCATTTGATCCCCTGATACCAGACCTACTTGCCCCAGCAAAAGCTGTATGACTGGAACCTGAAATATATGAAGATTTTGTTATGTTGCCACTGAAATTTTCTATGTTATGAAATTCATAGCGCAATAATAGTAATATATTGCTGCACCCACCGAGGTTTAGGGTGGTTGGTGGATCAGGTTGAGAAACCCCCATCCAGGGTTCGAATACCCTCTACTATGGCCTCGTGTTTTCAGTGGGGCAAAACAAGTGTGAGTCTGATGTCGGTGGATGGCCTCGCTAGGTTCCGTCGAGGGATTAGTTACGCTGCCAAGCGCTCATTTTGGAATGTCAGCAGGTAGATACCCACGTTCTCAAATAATAATAGTAATATATTGTTGTGCCATCATCATTATCATTATTAACCTTATTCCAACAAATTGGGGCCAGCTTTTAGGAGTTCTTATTCTCATCTCCATTTATTTTTGTTAAGCGCTACTTGGAGTTTTTAAATTATTTTGACCATCTTCATTGCATAATTTATATCGTGTTATTTTTGTTTTTTCATAGTTCTCCATAGTTTATTTTGTCTATTCATTTAAGTCTATTTTCCATATAGTCAATTCTCAATTTATTTTTTAGAACTTTGCCACGGCCTATACATCTATCCTAAGTTTCATTTGGGACGGCTTTCTACTACTTCAAGAAAGAGTAAAAAAATCGTCCCAAATGAAGGCTTAATGTTTATTAACTAACATTTTATGTTTTTAATAACCGGTCTAATTATAATTTAAAAATGTATCATGAAATCTCCATGTTATTCTCTTTATTATATGCTAGTCTTGAAGCACTTCACTTGAGATGCTACTGAAAACTACCCAAACTTGTGTTTGGACACAAATTAAGAAAAAGAGAGGAGACGTGAAGTAGATGGTTTCAAATTTTGGTCAGCCTGCACAACATAACATCATATAGACATGGACTTCTTATCTGATTTGATAGATCTCTAACAAACCACTTGTTTCCAAGAGCTGAACACATTGTTCATGTAAGTTTTTCCTAAATTCTTCCTTAAAACCACTCAGTTTCATTCATTACACTAGCAATCATTGAGTTGAATATTTTGAAACAAAACGTATTTAATCAAGTGGAACATGTAATTATGATCATTACAAACAACAAATTTTTTTAGTTAAAAGAGCAGTGATCAGAATTTTTGAGGAGTTACCTGGAAAGATAAGCCTGTACTGAACAGGAGAATCAATACAAACTCGAAGTACTGATCTATAGACCATATGGATTCAACTGCACCTTCTGCATAGTTCACAAAGAAATTCAAGGCTGCTGGTGCCAGAACTGCATAGGAGAAGGCAATGCCAGCATAAAACAACACAGATGATCCCAAAACAATAGGACCAAGAAACCTTCTCTCATTCTTCGTCAAACCAGGAAGAACAAATGCTATAATCTCATAAAGAATCACTGGACTCCCTAGCAGAAGACCACAATAACCTGAAACCTACAGCAAAAAAGATATGCAAAGCAATCATTGAGTTGTTGAAAGAATGATGAGAATAGAAATTAGAGCTCGAGTAGCTAAAGTTGGCAAGGATTAAACCTTTAATGTTGTAAAGAAAAACTCGCCCGGAGAAAGTTGCAGGAAACGAACACCCTGTGCAGACACAGGTGCTTCAAGAAGTTTGATTAAATCCTTGGAGAATGCAAAGCAGCCTATGATGGCACCTCCCACAGCCAGAACTGAAACAAATATTCGATCACGGAGCTCCTCTAAATGGTCAAATATGCTCATCTCTTTGTCATCAGGAAGAAGCTCCTTGCTAGGGTAAAGAAAATCATATAAAGCGCTCTGCTCATTTTCACTGTTTCCATTCTGCTTTTCCTCCAAGTTTGAAGTTTTAACTGCAACAAGATTAACAAAAAGAATACCAAAAATCATCAAAACGGAACTTCTGTTTGCGACTAGAATAAGTTTTAACTAACACACAATTTTCCAGATTACTTTAACGAGGTACCAAATAGTTCTTAAAAATTAATTGTTGGGGAAATTACATCCAAGCCTATGAATTTTAGCAGAGTAACACTATTTGGTGCTTCTAAATCTTTACTGCCAGGTACCTCAAACTTGATGTATAGGTCCTTTGATTTGTGAAAATGATAAAATTGTTCTTTCTGAAGGTATACATCAGTCCTTTGTTACAAAAATTTAGAAAAATGGCCTTAATTCAACCTTCTATAAAGAGCATATTGGTTGAAACAACTAACTGGAAAGCCGAAAGGGAGCAGGAAGAGATGTTGAGCGTGTGGAATTAACTATAAATAAAAGAGGGTAGGCAAACCCAAACTATAAAGAGGAAATGTGTTGAACACCTAATTGGAAAGCTGCAACTACTAAATTATTAATGAATCTCCCTATTTCCCTCAAGTCCTTGCTCACAATAATCCTCACACATTCCCATCCTATCTTGATAGGTCTCCCATTGAAACTCATCTTCATGAAGAGTGCGGAGACACTTAGCTTCCCCAAGAGAGAAGGTATATCGCAGTTCACCCCTTTAACAGAGTTGGGGACTGTTTTGGTGTTGGGAGACCATCATTGACATACAGAAAAGAGGGAGTTTTCATTCCTCAAATGAACTTGAACCACCTTTGGTTTCATATCCAGTAATGAGGATTCCTCAAAATGTCTCCCTTCCTCTTTGAAGAACTAAAGGATACAAACTCGAAATCAATATTTTAGAGAGAGGAAAAAAATAAGTTATCAAAGTGAAGCGTATAAAAGAACCAACAGATAAATATTTATAAAACAACATAATCATTATGAAACGCTTCAGAAGGGCATTTTAAAAGCAGTACACCTAAATGTTGTCTATATCAAAGCGTAAGAACCAAGACATAACTAATACTTATTTTCAAATCTTCTAAAGCCCCATCATGGCTTGTTTAAAAGGGCTGTTGCGGAACATTTTTTGTTCACGCCGTTCAAGGAAAGCATACTCTTATGCATATAAGAATCTACTTCCCACATATCTATAAAACCAGAAATCAAGTAACTTTATCATCTGCTTCCCTTGGCCTTGTATTTCAACAATGGTGGTCAACAAAGATCGACGAATGTTGGAGAAGAGCTCTTGGGCCAGCAAAGCTCATGTCTGGCAGTGGACATTAGAGTTAGTGGCAGTGAACTGACCAGATAGCTTGTGGTCGATGACCAACATTGAGGACAAATGGCTAGGTGGTTAGGTCTCAGGCACAGGGTTACATCTAAAAAACCTACAATATAAGGAAAGGTTGCTTGAAACATAAGCTTTAACAAACTGATCTATATGCTATTAAGTTTAAACAAAAGGATATATATGTGATTTTTGCTACTTATGTATTTTATTTGGATGCCTGAGTTATTGAGTTTCTTATTTTATTTTTGTTGAAAAAAAACATTGAGGGGTTGAGCAAATCAAAGACAGTAAGAAGGAAATAATATGGAGAATTCCTAATGTAGGGTACATTTTTCTTTGATTTACTGAAGACTTCATCATCTTATGCAATACTACATGTAGGCTTCAATGTTCTCTTTTGTGGTACTCGATATCTTTTGAAGTTACTTTTGAATTATCTTCTTCGTTTGAAAGTTGACGCTTCCAAGTTATACATGCTTTTTCTTAAAGTCTTCCTTACAAATGTAAGTGGTTGTGACTTGTGAGCACTCGTACCTCCAAGCCAATTCAAACTCAAGTCTGGAGGCTAATGAGTGATTCTCTCAAAAGTATAATATGGCATCACATTTCACTAATAAATACATAGTAGGATTCAATTGTGTAGTGAGTGAAATAAGATTGACAGTCCCTCATCAGTGCAATGTGCATCATTTCCTTTCGTCCTTGTAAGGCTACTATGCGCAAGCTTATTATTTTATTGATCATCAACCTCCTAAAAAAATTAAACCAAGCTTTTAATAGTTGGCATTAGGAAAAAAGATAGAATTTTGGTAAGTTAATTAGCACTGCGCTTAAGGCCAATGACTTCAAAAGATAACCTCCTAGAGATTCATGGTACGTTCTGTATATTATATGGCCTGAATCTTTAGTATTCACAGATCACTTAAAGCAGAATATTGCTCCCATTGTCACTCACAAACTAAAAGAAGAAAGAAAAAAAAGGCATGTAGTGAAGAGGTATTTACAGATATGAATGGCCCAGCATAAGGAACAACATGAAAACAAAATAGACATCGATTACATAAGTGGTGAAATCATTAGAAGGGATTTCCTTAAGCTAGACAGATCATAACGAACAAGAATGGTAGATATATAGAGAAGATTGAAGATTTTTTAACCTGAGTTGTGGTTTCTTTCGTTTGAAGTTGTGTCTTTCTTTTAAGAAATACGTATAAAATTAGAAATAGATCCTCATGTTTTACATTAATGCAGAAAAAAATTCAAAATCCTTATAGGAAAAATGATTCAATCAAAAGAGGGAAACAGGCCCTCGGGTAATTAAGAGTTAGCACGTCTTTACACCTTAGGTACATTTTTTTGCAAGAGTTTTTATTCCTAAGGGAATTCAATGGGAGATGAAGCAAAAATAATTTGGAAAGATGAATAGAGCTGAGCAGTTATAGGACTAGATCTTAATCACATGCACTATATAAAAAGAAGAAGATTAAATGATTCTTGGTTGTGTCGTCCCACTCTCAATAAAATTTGCGTATTTTGGATGATTTGATAGAAATATCCATCCTTACACTATTTTTCATCCTAAAGGACACATTTTTAAAGAGATATTGGAAAGGACAATAAGGAAGAAACTATTTCTGCTTATCCATTCTTCTTTAGGACCATAACATCATAGAATAAATAAACAACTAAGAAAAGGCATAATTGTGAGCTAGATAAAAATATGATCAATCGACTGCCTCTTAATCTCATTCCAAATGTTATCTACCCCGCCTTGAATTTTGATGTGGGTTCCTAAAATCCGCGCTCAAGCCTCTTATTGGGAGAGTTTTAGGAATGTTCCGAGTCAAATTTTCGGAAGTTAGATTAGGTTGCAAATAAAACATCACCCAAAAATTTTGCCCTCATTTTGCAACGACTCTATGATCAAGTTTCAGGTTTCCCATAGGCAGAATCTATTATAGTTAATTATGATAATGAGAGAGAAGTTTTGATTAAGGCTAATCAATAGAGATGCACTAAGTGCTTGGCTAACAGTAGAAAAAAAATTATTTTAGGATTGAAATTTGTCACTGCAAAACCTAAAACGGATGGTTGAGAAAATGATGACAAACCCGATCACAATCCAATGATTCTATTATCCTAGATTGTCACAGTCTCTAATCTACTTAGTCAAAGAAATGGTATATATAAATGATCCAAACTAACAACCCAACCCAAACTTGACACAAAAAATTCGGGTTCGGGTTGATTCAATTAATTTTTAGGTCAAATTCGGGTTAGAAATCTTGATCGAAATAATTTTACGGTCTAATTCGGGATGACCCGAAAACCAGAAATTGACCTAATTCTCATTTATGATTGGGTTAAATTGGTTAGGTTCAGGTTCAACGGGTTATTCTTGAGTTAGATGGTCATATTTGGGTTAATGAGTCATGTTGATCTAAAAAAAAATTCAAGATCTATATAATAAATGGGTCAAACGAACTACGTTAGGGTTATAGTCGAGTTTGGGATGAGTTGAGAGCGGGTCAAGCATTTTGAATCATATGAACAAGTAAAGTTCAAATCAAGCATATTCGTGGGGTCAATTTTTTGTTAAACTCAAAATCGAGCCATCAACTCGAATTGACACTCCTAATCAGAAGATGTTGTTGGTCCTACCTAAAAGAAAGATTCTTATCAACACTTATGTGTTACTTTGTCAAGAAAACCTTATAGATCTAAGATGAATGTTTGTCTAATGAGGCAAATTTATGTCAGCCTAAGTTAACAAAGAGCTTTGTGTAATTTCAAGTGCAAAATATAATTAATTCCTCAAGGGTTTTAGACACTAGAAAAATTGCGAGATGTGACCGTGACCATAATTTAATGGTGTAATTTTACGGTAAAACCAATCGACCAAAATGCCTTAGTCATAACTATTTACTTGTTTCATTTAACGGTGAAATCACTAGTTCAAAAACATGTGTTTGTCCTTATTTACAAAAGATCATTTGAAAACAAATATAGTTATACACTTAACAAAACACAGAGCCATTTATAAGCTGAGATTTTCTCATATTTATCACCCATAACAAATAATTGCGGATGGTGGATGAATTTTGATTTGATTTTCATGGACGATAGATTTCATTTGAATATTTTAAAATTTGAATAAATATTTAATTTTTTAATTTTATGATAACTTAAGTCCTAAGTGATTAACTTTGAAAATGAAAATCATATAACCCCCTCATGTGAGAACCGAAACTAAACGGTTCAACTGAACTGGTCTATTCATTTCAGCGGGCGAGCAGTTACGTGAAATGCAGGTTCAGACGGACGAACCGTGACCGTCTGCTTGCGTAACCGTCCCAGATGAAGTCGAATCGAGCCGTTGAGCGAAGGATCACTGATGTAGAATGGGAACGCCGGCTTTGCTAGGGAGAGGATCTTCACTCCAAAATCTGAAATAAGTTTATTGTACAACCTTGGAGGGAAGAGAGCCCGTAACCCAAAACCTGAAGTGATTCTTCAGATTTTCCAAACAGCAGTTGAAGGTCTTCCAAGGGTGGAGGAAGTAAAGCAACGGCTGAAATTTTCTAGTTACTGCCTTGGGAGGAAAAGGGATCCAGGTTGTCAAGAGTTTGAATAGGGTTTAGTGGAGGAAATGACATGTGAGGGTCTTGGGAGGTTATCGGCCAGCAGAGAACTAAAGGGAAGATTTAATTCCCAAAGTAAAAGAGG